TTCGTATATGTCTAAACAGTTGCACTTGAGCACACTGCTGAGGCCCGTGCGCTCAGATTTGGCTGCACGTTGAAGAACCCCAGGTGGTCGAAATTTTCGGAGCCTTCCACTACGGCGTCTGTCATAACCATATGGTGGTTTCGGGACGTTAAACCCCACATATCTATCAATATCAAACAGTTGCACTTGAAAATTTTCTCTCCCTGACGTCATGATCAACGTCTTTTTCCTCCTAGGCACGAAGTCATGACGGAAGCTCACCGACATCATTTGCATGACAGAAGAGCCTGGCACCGCCAAAACCTTACCAGCGTAATTTAAATCATAAAAATTAATTAGTGGTGAAACCTTACACTCGTCATTTCGGAATGAAACGGTGTGGCTTCACCAAAAGATTGCCGACGTCATTTCCGTCACGGAAACGACGGCGGTAAGATTTTCGACGAGGCCGCGCTTATATTGCCAGCAACTGGCATATTATCCCGGAAAGCAAATTAACGGCGTATAAATCGCTCGTTCGACCATTGCTAGAGCCCCGCCGCGGTGGTCTAGTGGCTAAGGTACTCGGCTGCTGACCCGCAGGGCGCGGGTTCGAATCCCGGCTGCGGCGGCTGCATTTCCGATGCAGGCGGAAATGTTGTAGGCCCATGTGCTCAGATTTGGGTGCACGTTAAAGAACCCCAGGTGGTCTAAATTTCCGGAGCCCTCCACTACGGCGTCTCTTATAATCATATAGTGGTTTTGGGACGTTAAACCCCACATATCAATCAATCAATCATATCAATCAACCATTGCTAGAGTACGCCTCAGCGGTATGGTCACCCTATACTGCACTTGACATAAATATGCTCGAGGGCATACAGAAAAAATCAATACGATTTATATTTGGCCGGTATGACCGCAATTTTTCTCCCTCATCTCACGCATGCTCATTGTCGTTAGAATCCCTTGCTTTCCGACGCACACTTGACCGTATCACTCTGCTACATAAGATTGTACACAGCCGCAGTTGCATTGAAGCACCGATTACTTTTTGTGATTCAGCACGACGAACCACGCGCCGATCTCACCCACTCAACATTGTTCCCTTCCAGCCATTTGTAAATTGCTTTAAGCATTCCTTTTTTCCAGCCGTTGTTGAGATTTGGAACAACCTAGATGGTTCCCTACGCGAAAAACCAATTGAACTGTTTTTGAAAGAACTGCCTAACCATATTTTGTAATATGTTTTAAATGCTTTGTATGTTTCTTTGGTATTGCTTAATGTATGTTCGTTCCTTTTCCTAATGTACCCACTCCTGCTCACTCCTGTATATGTACCCACTCCTGTATCAAGACAGGAGTATCTGTAAATAAAAAAATAAAAAATAAAAAAAATCAAGTTGCCAGCAGTTTTTTCTTATTGGCTGCCCACCACCATGTGACTTATCTGCAGGCACATTTCTGGTGAGCCTGTCTTGTCGGCTTGCTGTATTTTTAGCTTTAAGCCGTCGTTTAGCTATTTTTGCTCTCCGACATTTCGCAACACTGATAGTCAAAGAAGGATAGTCAAAGGATAGTCAAAGATCTGAGCTTCTTTAACTTGACGTAACCTAACAACCTAATTGGACGCGCCCCACAGGAATTGTCCAGGCAGTATGCGGCTAGCTCGCAGTGCCGCTTGTTTCAAGTGTGCTTCATGTCGTGAGAAGAGAATCTCTGAGGTGGACATCATCACGCCTAGGTCGCGGTATTTCTCTAGCCTGGGCAGTTCCTCGCCGTTCGGCAGCACCAGACCAGCCTCGGCACACTCCCCAGAGAACGTCACTTCAAACCCTCCTATAGGAAAGAACTGCCGGTACCCGGTCGGTCGGCATACTCTACCGGCTGCCGGCAATATAGACACTACCTTTTCACAAAGCTCGACATAACTTTTTTTCGTTCAGAACACTACACAAGCGTCAAGAAACAGTGGGGGAATAAGCTATTTGAGAATAAGTGAACCCTTTCGACACTTACTCCTTTTCCTGCTGCGCGTTGTCTCGCAAGCTTCGACCATCCTGGATGACGTTCGCGCGCTGCTTGAATTTGAGGACACCCGCGCCCCCTTTGGTCAGGTACAGCACCTGAACGATGACGATCAGCGGGACGGCATTCACGACGGCTTTCCGAGTGATCGCACGGCGTAAGAACCGGACCAGGAATGGACGCCGCCTCGCCCTCTGCACTGTAGCTTTGTTCTCGGCAGATGCTCCGGGCGCTTTCTCTGGTCGTGCAGCGTTCACCGGCGGTCCTTTCGCCATTTCGGCTTGATTAGTTGAAGGCCGGCTAACTGGTTTTCCAATGAATGGGCCACAACCTACTCAAGAGACCACGCTGTGACACGTCAGCCTGCGCACACACTTCTTCTTCCTCTTGTTCTCTGAACGTGCCCTTGACTGCTGCCCACAACGGAGTGCGTTTTTCCTTCACTCTATGGTACGCACCCACTCTCGTGGATTGCCTATAGAATGCGAAGTTGAAAATTTAAAATGTTATTTGAAAAATGTAGGTGATATTAAAAAAAGAAGAAACGAAATTGCAATGCGCAATACTTTAAATTAAGATTACAAGCTGTGATGAGTGAAGAAAACGACAACGACGGAAGTGCGGGGCAAGCCGCGTGTAATGTGCGCGTGAGTGTCAGCGAATCAGCTGATGACCTGTGGTGGCCCATAGAGGTGGCGTGCCACGATTGGGCCACGGGCGACCATCACGTGGCAGTGGGCTTTGTGGCTGGGGACGAGCCGAAGCAGCGGCAGACGGGAGACAGCGGGTCGAAGCGTCGGACGCAGGCGATCCAGGTTCCGGCCAGGGAACGCGGCCGTCCACGCTACTGCCGTCCAACTACCAGCTGGGGCGGCGTTGCCGGCACGAGTACTGCATCTCGGGGCGCGGCCTGGCCTGCTGTTCTCTTCCTTGCCGAGGGCATCGCGGATCTCGGCGAGGCGTCTCCACGGTCAGCCGTTCGACACAGCGATGAACGTGGCCTGGCTAATGGTCACGGTTGCGTCGAGCATCGCGTCTCGGCGCACGCTCTTCGCTGGACGGGCTGGCCATGCCCCGCATGGAGCATCGCGTCTCCGATGCGGGTTGACTGCTCCGTGGCCGCACCCACGCCATCAAGCGCCGGTGTCACCAGAGCGTCGCACTTCGGCAAGGGACGAGCGAGATGCTCTGCCGGGCGAGACGCGGGAGTGCGCACAGAGGAGCACGGAGCCGGGCGAGGTCCAGGGTGGCCGAGGGTCAAGGTGCCAGGGGAGTTGCTGGCTGAATCGAGGATCGCCGAGCGGTGCCGAGCCGTACCGAGCGACGCGCCAGACTCGGACGTGGGCCGCGAGCTCACGAGCTGCAGTGTGCACCCGAGGGTACCTGGCGGTGCCCTGGCCAAGAAGAAGGAACGTGCGGAAAAGAGAGCTCGAGGGTTGAGGCCACGAAGGCAGAGGAAGCGGTGCGCCGCTCGAGAGGACGAGTTTCTGGCAGCGTTCCTGAGCCGGACGTGAGACCCGTACGTGTCGGCCAGGTCGAGCTCCGGTGTGTCTGTTCAAGGTCCAAGGCCGAGACCTGCCGAACGGCTCCTGCCTGGGTGCAGTGGCCGGGAGCAGGTTCGTGGGCGAGGCCTATCGGGTGTGGTCCTCGTGAGCCGTGGCCTGATCCTGGACCTCTGGAGTTGCGACCCTGACTGCTGGGTTGGCCGCGACGTCTGACTCAACGGCGCTGCACACGGTAGCGTATCCGTGCGTCGTCAGCCGTTCCACCCATGCCATGAAATAAAAAGTTCATGTTAATCCTTTCTCGTCCGCTATCAACAAACATAGTGACGAACGTCCTGTAACTATCACACAAGCATTGTAATATTGAGATTGTATTCCAGACTGCCGTATCAACCCGATCGGAACAATCTTGAAGAGATTAGTTGAATTATACCTTATTTTAATAATTGTGCTCCGAGATTCGGACGGTCACTTTTATAAGCGTGCGCACGGGCAATGGGTAGGGCTGGGGGATGGTCACATTTTGCTAATATTTTTAAAGGAGGCGCCAACTAAGCCCATTTAGTCGGACATTTCCAGCCGTTCATGAACCCCATATCGGGTGTAATGTTAAAAAACGACGCGCGCCAACTATCGAGGGTATTATTGTCGTTTGTATACGATCTTCTTTTAATATGTACAAAATTTGAGCTTTTCGTTGTCCAACTAAGCACGGAGACCAGTGCAAGACATTTCACATTCTCCTTTACAAGTCCTGCAGCAGGAAGGCTCAGCGTTCGAATCACTACTGTGAATCATACCCCGAAAACGTTCAAATAAAGTTCTCGTACGCCTTTTTTTTCGCACCTGCAGCTAGCCTCAGAATTTCAGAATGGATCTTTAAACCAACTGTGTGAGAAGCGCTCTTTCTCTTCGCTCTTGTCCGTATCCCGAAAGACCGTGACGATATGCGCCACGCAACGTTGTGAGGTCGGCGTATCAACAGCTATATGGTTATCTTATCGCAGCGCCCATATAACTCGTGCCCAAGAAAACCCTCTGCTAGCAGACCTCGCATATCAATTCTTATCGACGACGAGAACAATACGTGGCGATAAAAGCAGGCATTCTTTCAAAACGGTGAAGTTGTAGGCAGTGCAGGCTAAGCTGTGGTAGTGTCTTGTTCATAGGACTGTCAACAAGTCACAGTGATACATTATACAATTACTTTAAGTCAGACATATCTGATTTGACTCTCTCGACTTTTGCAATGTTTCTGATCTAGACAGAGGTTTGCTAATCTAAATTGGATATATATCTTTAAGGCTGATGCCATGATGTCTTTCACTTGTCCTTACTACCGAGTGCTTACATTCTTTCTTGTGGCAGTACTGCTCCGCACTTTCACTGTCTCTCCGTCTTTCCGCTAGCGGAAGATATACTGCACGCAATTACAGTGACGAGTATCGGTGACGCTTCACACGCCCCCGAAGCCCATTCACATCCCTCGAAGTACCTCCGCAGCGCAGCAATTGCAGAGCACGTCGGGGTGTAGACGCAGCCCGCGGTCGCACGTCATGGCTACTCCAGGGATTCGTTCATCTACGGCGTTGAGGCTACTCCTAGTTGGGTTCATCGCGGTTTACCACGTGTCACCAGCGACTGCCGCGGAAAAGCCACCCGGTCAGGGTAAGTATATGGTGTATACGAGAAAGGTTGACGAAAACGGTAAGGTGGGCAGATTGGTCTAGCTAGACTTGTTAGCGTAAGTACATGTACTTCCGGCGTAAGCTTTCACGAATACTGCTAGGTTCAGAACCCGAGCAGTCATGCAAGACATTTACAAATTGTTAGCAAGGTGAGTTAGCACCTCATTGCTCCCTTGGCATTGGAATTTTTTGAATACCCAAACATAGGAAATACCTTTTCGTAACTTGATCCGCTGACGAAAGTTACATGTTTATAAACACAGAGCTGATTTGAGTACTGTTTTTTGTGCTAATTTTTTGTGAAAATTAGATAACAAACACTCCTTCTAATCATGCTGCCGCTTCTAATTGGATAATTACATCGAACTGAATTGAATATTTTTCAAATATTCTGTTATTGTGATTGAGAGTCTTTTTCTGGACTATCGTCATAGAGATCTTGGCGTGTCTTTGGGAAAGCTTTCAGGTAAATCAGTAAGATTTCTTTTTCGTTGGATTCTTAAATGCCGATATGCTATACGGTAATTTAGATTAATGCACGCATACCTATAATCTGTGCGCAGTGTAAACTACCCAACTTATTTGATATTCAGTAATTTATTTTTTTTCTTGCAGGTCTGCAGTGTGATGGATGCGTTGCGATCCTGCAAGGCAAGTTCTCCTGTCGGCTTTTATGGCAGCTGTTATCTGATAATCAATTGTTGTATGGGAAACGAAATGGAGGGAAATGCCGATTTACACTTAAAGTTGAGGGAGGTTTCAATGAAATAACTCATTGTGTTTTCTAGCTATTCAAAAAAGGTCAAGTGTATTTCTTGATTATTCAGAGAAGGCGACGTAAACAGCGTATATACAACAGGTAACTACGGCTGACGGTCTCTCAGAGTGTACTGGAATTCCGTCATAACTTCATATATAACTTTTTGTAGGGCTGGTTGGTATACGTGCTTTCTGAAATAAAAGAAAGGGATAAAATCGAGCATAAACCAGAAAAGGCGTTCTTTCTGTTTTGTCCTCACCTCGCCGTGGTAGTGGCTAAGGTACTCGGCTGATGACCCACAGGTCGCGGGATCGAATCCCGGCTGTGGCGGCTGCATTTCCAATGGAGTCGGAAATGTTGTAGGCCCGTGTGCTCATATTTGGTTGCACGTTAAAGAACCTCGGGTGGTCGAAATTTCCGGAGCCCTCCACTACGGCATATCTCATAATCATATAGTTATTTTGGACGTTAAACCCAACATATCAATCAATCAATCAATCAATCTGTTTTGTCTCAATTTTCTTCATTGGTGGTTCGCGTCATTCTTTATTTTAGTAAGCATATAGCACGTTCGCTTACAAACTTTACCATAGATCTTGTGAGCTTGTCTTCAAAGCTGCGCTCCCGGTACTTCTTGTGGTAAGCCATACGAGTATGCGTGAATCACTATCACACAATGCAAAGTCATTGCTACTTTCTCCCGAAATCCGTTCGAGCCACCCACAGATCAGGACTTGGCGAAGATACCCCAAAAGAGTATTCCCGAATGCACATATCGAAATGCATGCTATAGGGGAGACCCGCTCAAGTTTGCCCGGCGACGCCAGCGCTTGCCTTTCCCCTGCCAGGAAAAGCGCACAACAGTAGCGTCTTCCGACCCTTCCGCTCCCTTTGGCTTCCACGCATTCACGAAGCGCGCGCTGCACGTGAAACGTCCCTCGTTCCGCGATGTCACCCCAACAGAAAAGGGGGAACTATTGCTGCGTCGTCAATTGTCACAATAACCATGCAAACACGAAAGAGTCGACTCCACCAGTGAAATTCTACCGATTCCCAAACCGATGGTACGAAACAAGCAGACGACAGGAATGGATTAAAGCAGTGCGCCGAAAAAAGTATGTAAACAATTTTTTTTCATAAACATTAGCACGCGCACAATACATTCAAAATTACGTGTGTTCATTCCAGCGTCACCGTTTCTCTAATCTATAGAGTTACTGGGAGATGCACGTCCCCATCTTAAAAGTATAAATTTTCAACGCCCGTCTTTAGAGCACTGTTAAAAAATAGTGAATAAATATTTTATGCTGCTACTATTATTCGATATTGTTGGGGACGTAGTAGTTGAAGCTGTGTGCACATGTGGTATTGGTAAAGTGTTGTTATATATTTTTAAATCTACGTAGCGCCAACGGAAGTGTGTGGTTGCCAAAAGCTTGGACAGCTATGAAAAAAAGAAAAAAAATGGATTAGCCGTTGTTGCACGTCCGTTGGCAGATACAGTGAACTAGTTGTTACTGAGTGTGCAGGGGCAGCCCGAACAACACGGTGCATTTTTGATACGTGACCAAGATAAAATGCCTTTATAGCAATGCCCTCTTCCCCTGCAGATTAGACACACACAAAAAAGTTTCCCTGATAGCTATGCGCTCATCATGATGGTACGCACGCTGTTCGTGAACTCAAAGTACCCACGATAAGAACGGTGATAATGCAAGGAAAGACACGCGAGATAGATGTCAATTATTGTTGTGGGTCAGAAAGAAGCCCCAAGTAGACCATTTATTTTTGAAGTGTTGTGTATACACCGCACGATAACTTGGGTAGGTGCTAGTAAATTAAGGTATCCCAACTAATAGCAGTCACAGCGCAAGAACCGCTTAACCTAAAGCACGAGAAGCGGCCTTACCCATCCATGCAGGAACAAACAGTGCATAGTACCCAGAGTAAACCAAATAAAACAAGTATATAATAATGAACGTACAGAAAGTTTTATTCACCTCTAACGCCGTAAACAGTGTCGTCTTTCACTTGCGAAACGCACTTCACTCTGACGAGGACGGCGTCGTCTGCTACAACTTCCTTCGCATCGGCTACATGGCTGAGCAGACGCTGCCCTTTTACCAAATCGCTGCCACGAAAAAAATCCTCAATTGCGGCGACCCTACTTAACGCGGAGAGAAGCGTACACATCATAACCGCGCGCGACGCGAGACTCTCAAAAACACGTGCAGAAACGCGTGCAGCGTGCGAGCAAAGCAACGCGTTTTCAAGGCAGGTTGAATGGGACAGCGGAAGGGTCAACACTCGAGTAACCAGTTTTCTCCCCGCATTGACTGACAGCGCCAGGCTCTGCAGCGCCTCCCTCAGCGTGGGTCTCCCCTATACAAGTCTAAATTGCGGATGCTGAGATACATTTGTCTTTGGCGTAACAGGACATTTCGAAGGTACATTGACAAAAAGACGAAAGAAGTATCCTTAAATACAGTTAGAGGAATAGAGATACTAAAATAATTTTTTTTCTTGTTACTATTTCGGAGATGCTATACTGCGTAAATGGATTTATGAAAGTGCAGTCATGATATTGCTAATAATGCTACAGCTCCGAAACTCACAAGTAAAGCATATCGACGATACTGTTCAAATGCATTTATGAAAGTGCAGTATAATATTGCGAATAATGCTGCAGTACACTAAAATAAGTAAAGCATATCGCCGGATTGAGAAGTGTAGGCAGACTTTTTTTATTGGGGGGGGGGGGAGGAGGGAAAGACCCTTCATTTGAAGTTGAGGCCGGACAGGCTAATGTGGTCGAGTGTCATTCTGGCCTCTGTATGTCGTGACAAAAAGAAAGAAAAAAAAAAAACATTACGAGGGAGGGGGTACGGGCGCTAAGCCCCTGGCCGGACTCGCTAATGGACAGAGAAAGCGTTACATGTTGAAAACCTGCTTTGCCAAGAAAGTTCCATTACGGTTATTTTGCAATTAGACAACATCAGCTTTTCAAATATGCTGTAGATAGCGTGGTTTCGGCTTCAGCACAAGCCTCGCAAACTCGCCAAGTGGCTGGGCATCGAAAAAAAAAAAATGAGGGCCCCTACAGAAGCCTTCAAAAATAGCGTCTGTGTCGGCAAGCCAGGTAATACTACCTTCGCGGTTCTGCTGTCAGGGGAGTCCAGTGCTTTAATTACCACGTTGCCCATTTTTCACGTGCGAAGATACGCCACCCTGTATCCGACAAAAGAAGCGCCTGTGCTTGACTCAGTATATACAGACGAAAAGTATTCTTTTCCTCTTTGTCAACATGTCAGGTCCTTTCTGACAAAATAAAAGAAAGAAACGTTACGGCATACCCATGTCCTGCACAACATCACGATGCACTCGGTACATCCTAAAGGTATTTCACTACTGCGATACAATTGTAGATTTCAAATGTGTCCTGATATAGAAGTTCAGACACTCACAAGTATATCTGAGCTACTATCGCGATACCCGCGTATCACTCCTATTCGTGTATCGATACTCTCTATAGAAATGACGTCAAGGAGTGTCAGTGCCGAAACTAGAACGAATGCCGTAACCAAGAATTCCGAACTAAGTAGATGCACTTCCAGTTTGCTAACAGGTCTGCTCGTAATTATGCTGCTCCAGCACCCAAGAAATGAATTTCCATCAATACAGATTGGCTTGGTACTTCCCTTTAAAGTCCGTCTACCATACCGAAGGATAATGCGAGAAAATGTCATTATTCTTGGTAATATACAGTCGTGTGGAAAAATATCTAGTAAAAATTTCTACGGCAGTGAAAGTCACACCTTCCCTAAACCTTTGTGGCATGTTTTTTTTTTTTTGTGCTCGTCTGCACATGCGCAGAGCTGCACCCAAAGCTGTCAGCGAGCCAGGGCCGTAAGCGACTCGTGGAAGGCGCGCTGAAGAACCTGTGCAGCGAGGCCAACTTCGTCGTCTACAGGCACAGCCCTCCCAAGATGATCAAGGCCTGCAAATTTATCCTCGGTGAGCATACATGCATGTGATTATGCAGTTAAAACGGTTATATTTGAAGCATCAGCATCAATCGGCTCAACCATAAAAGTAACATGTTCCTTCTAGAATGCCTCGGAAGTTGGAAGCTTTTCAGCTGTCATGACTTCACACGAAGTTGGTTGCTAGTTTGGCATTACTAGGACGAGTTTCAGAATTCGAGAGAGTGAGGGACGGAAGTAAAGTGAGGGAGGGTTTAAACTAGTCGGTTTACGAGGCCACATCTGCAGTCTGTAGGTTGATAGCTGTCGATAGACAAGGATAGGAGGTGTGGAAAAGGAAAAGAAAATGGTATAGAGATTATCAGACATCCAGACTGTTGAACACTGTTGAATGGAACTCTCGAGTGCAGCCCACGTACTGATTTCGCACTCTTACAAAAATATACTGGCATCGATAATATTGCACGATGGTATACTGGTGGTGGTGGAAATTTATAAGTGTGGCAGCTTGGGCTAGTTGGTATGGCATGACGATAGTTATAGCGCGAGAACAAACCGACGACACGGAGACAAGAAGGACCCTTCGTGTCCTTGTCTCTGTGTCGTCGTTTTGTTCTCGCGCTATAACTACCGTGGTGGTGGACAGTTCTGCCTCCTTTTGACAAGCTAGTGCACTGCGCGAACCACGGTTTCGCATTTGTGTAGTCGCAGATGTGGGTCCGGCAATAGTGAAATGTGCACATTCGAGTGCTCCCTTTAATAGCGGACAGCGCTGTTCGTACACGAACAAGAGTACGCCCATGGTCGATAGATGTCCGCCGCGATGCTGTAGCGGTTACGGCCGGTGTCCGGCTGCTGGCCTGAAGTTCCTGGGTTCAATTCCAGCCACGGCGGTCGCATTTCGATCGAAGCGAAATGATGGAGGCCAATTTCTCTTCGAAATCTATCATTGACGATAATGGCGATCCATGCATGGTACCCTTCACGTCATAATCAAAGAACTGTCCCTTTGCCTCGTTTACCCCGGAAAGCTGGGAACCAATGGCAGGCCTTCGGTCCTCGAACTCGACCAATGAGGTAAGGGTGTGTGGGAGTGGAGGGAGGGGCTCTGCGATTAAACTTGGTCCCGTCATATAATGGGAAAACGGCATGCCTGGGAAGGTAACTCTTCTGGTAAATTTTTTTTCAGTTTTGTTTTTCTTTATAGCGCGCAAAACCTAGAGACGTACTTGGCACGTGTTGACCGATGTACCCACCATATATTTGTGCCCGCTGCAGACAACTATCGGGACGAGCTGGCGTCCAGCCTGCACAACTTCTACAAGAAGTACAAGGTGAAGGACAACCTCAAGCTGCAGGCCGAGTTCTGCGACGAGACCATCAAGGTCTGCCCTCCGGGAATGCGGGACGCGGACATTAGGGTAAGCGTCTGTAGATACATTTTACGGATGGTTTCAACGTTATACACTGGATCGGTTCAGCTATATTGGGCCGTTAAATTTTGTATTTTGTATATTCAAAAACTAAATAAACAGTGTTGCTGTAGAAGCATACGCATGAGATTGGTTGCGTTGGTGCACACGATGTTTCATGGCCTCATTAAATTCACGTCGCGGTTAACAAAAACAAGAAAACGTCGGCTTAACAGCCCGAGATGGCGTCGCCCATATGGCTTACGAAAGATAGTCTACAAGTGTGCGCACGAGAGTGCTTCGAACGTCTACACGAGCACACCCTTGCAATTTTAACAACGGTAGTATTTAATAGGGTGTCGGTAACTAGTGATCTAACTTAAAACAAAAACTATCACCATTACGAACCGGCGCTCGACATCATTTTGTTTACAGCGACGCTGTTTAGGATCGCAATAACTTGTCGTCCACCGAGAAAAACTCCGGAGGTAGGAACGCGTCCCGAGAATCGGGCAAACCCAACCACCGCAATGCAGCAGGTGCGAGGGTTAAGGCCCTGCGATGTTCCGTACTACGCCGAAGAATTCCCGTTCAGAGACATGAAAATTCCACACTTCGGAGATTTTTCCCTTGCAAACGATGACGACATTCCCAGCGAAATTCCCTGCACAATAGTACTAACTTGCGACCCATCTACGCGGACTTAGTCTATAACTACACGTGTCTCACGTATGGCGACTTTTGAAATCATGACTAGCCCCTGTACAGCCGCACAACAAAATTATGAAATTATTAATTATTATGCTGTTAGCACACTGCACGTTGTGGGCTTCATGTCTCACACCACCAGAAAACTAGAAATCACTCCGCGTAAATACCGCAAACAAATAGGGAGTTTTAGTGCTGGCTACCCAAGCTGCTTGCGTACGCAGGACGTTGGGGCGGCGGTATTGCGCATGCGCGAAACCCCAAACAGATGCGTCGCAAGATCGTTGGGGCGATGGGGCCATGCGTCCGCGCGGTCCACCTTCGCAAGAACTCACGGTATACGCACTGTGGATACTCTAGCCGTCGAGTTAAAATAAGCCAAAGTACGAGCACTTATAACGATTACACGGTTTCAGCCAGATTTCCAAAGCTAGAATGGCCTGGAACATAAAAACTAAAAAAAAAAATATGCCAGCCCCCGACTAGCTGAATAGGTGGCGCCATTTAGTGCGGCCATAGTGAAACAGACAACCACAACTTTGTTATTTCAGAAACATTGTGCATGGTACACCTGGTGCAAAAACTGCGCAGCGACAATACTACAAATGAGTAACCTTTTTATTCATTTTCACCTCAAAAACATTACGCGTAAGCTAACATGTTCATGACTGCGGTTGCACGAAGTGTCACGCACGAAGTGTCACAAGATGTCGACACTGTCGTTACAATAACTTTGTATTTCACTTTTTTGCGTATACCAGATTACTGTACACAATAAGAAAAGTGTCCTGATCACTATGTATGTTTAATTTAACATTTTAAATCATAAAAAGACTTAAATAATACTTACGCGACAAGACGCCATGGCTCTGCGAGCGCGTGTGAACTTCGTGCGGCTTGCGTTTGCGTGCGTGCCACCGTGGCGACAACTAAAAGGCATTGCGGTTGGGTATGGGTTGGGCACGCAACGCCGCGCGCCCCCAAGCCCGCATCGCCCCAAGAGATTGCGTACCCAGCACTAAAACTCCCTAATCTCAAAGGCCATGCTTGCGTGGCGCAGAACCGATTACAGCAGATGAAGACGCGCTGTGACCGCTAATTATCGGTTGCCGCAGGAGAATTTCACCATTCCTAAAATTTACTGTAGTATAACAAATATTCTCTTTTTTCCTTTGCCTCAAAATGACAGGCGAAAATTCCCGTAAAAGGAAAACTTCCCTGCACGGAACATCGCTGTTAAGGCCTGACCCCACGTGTCCGTCGCAGCGCGTCACCGCGAGGCTTTTTGACGCAGCGCCGCGTCCTCTGTTTATAGAGAGAATGGGCGCGTGGCTGCCCGACGCCGCTCTCTCTCTCTCTATTTCCGTATCAGAGAGGGCTCAAGGCCGCGTCACCGCCAGGCTTTTCGACGCGGCGCAGCGCCCTCTCGAACATAGCTACGCGCCCACATAGTCTGACCACACGTATCCGTTGCAGCGCGTCACCGCGAGGCTTTTTGACGCGGCGCCGCGCCCTCTCTTTATAGAGAGAGTGGGCGCGTGGCTGCACGACGCCACTCTCTCTCTCTCTCTATTTCTGTATCAGAGAGGGCTCGAGGCCGCGTAACCGCCAGGCTTTTTGACGCGGCGCAGCGCCCCTCGGACATAGCTACGCGCCCACATAGTCTGGCCACACGTATCCGTCGCAGCGCGTCACCGCGAGGTTTTTTGACGTGCCGCAGCGCCCTCTCCCTATAGAGAGAGTGGGCGCGTAGCTACGCAATGCCGCGCATTCTCCGGATGAGAGATGGCTCGACGCCGCGTCAAAAAGACGCGGCGCCGACGCGCTGCAACGGGTACGTGTGGTCAGGCCTTTACACGACAACTCTGCCCGGCAAGTTGGAGCACGTGAAACACGTGCAAGAGAGAAAATAAAGAGAAAGTAAACATGGAAAGATATAGAAAGTTACAGAAATACACACACAAAGTGACAGTTACACCAAGGCAAACACGAGAAAGATAGGTCAATAGATAAGAAGACACAACAAATAGAGGCTATCAAACAGAGAGAGAGAAGGAAAGAGAGAAATAAAGAGATAGAGGGAGCGAGAAAACGAAAGGAATAGGAACAGCCACAAGAAAAACGATTCAGGAAGCGAAGAGAAAGAGAAACAACAAAAGCCACACGGCTTCGCGAAGCCGCCATAATTCCTTTAAAAGGATTTCGCGCGAGCGTGCTCACTTGACGTAATGTAGCACCTAACACGATAAAGTTGTTACCAGTTTTTGTACTTGATACGCAAGCGCATAGAGCACACTCGTGTGCGGGCGTCATCTGTCGCGTTGTTAGCTAAGGGACGAATACGCAGTATTCTGTTGTTTAATCACTTCAGCCGTATCAGTGCGATAATGAGTCGACGTTGTGACGCTTATCGTTATATTACATCGTGTTTCATCTCTCCGATATTGCAAACTACCATATCCGGGGGCTGGCACTCCAACATTGCAAAAAAAAAAAGAACAAGGATGTGAACCTTGTACTAACAACGTATATACGAGATGCAAATAATACATTGGTGCCATGCCAGAGTTGCAGTAGTCAGACATCGCTATGAGGACTTGCGAAGCTGCCATGAGAGCCATTTAATTTGAACAGGAACATCTCGCTAATGCGTCGACACGCTGGGAATTGAATTTTTAGTCAGCTTAGAAATAGATTAACTCAGTTACAACGTAAGAAACAATGTTGGCTCCACCCACAGAACAATGGCGCCACTGCCATCCACTTGTGAAAAACAGCCGCGCAAGCTGGTTTCCGCTGTATCTACAAGTATAATTTTTCTCGGCTACAGTAAAAGATACGCATATTAATATTCAGAAATTCTTCGTTACTACTAAAAACATTACGTTTGGTTGAAGAGCGATGTAAGAATTCTCGATGAAACTTACTAGGAGGTTCAAGTTGTCGACTTAAAACAGGCCTGTGCCTGCATCGGAAAGAATTGTATAAAATTCCCGAGGACCCCATGACGTCATGAAAATGAGCAGGCGCTATTGATAGAGCATTCACGAAAATTCTCTGTAGGAGGGACAGCCACCGATGTGGGCAGAGCGGATATTTTTTGTTAGGTTGTAACCGATCGCAATATGTGGACTGTACCATTTAGTGCATAACGAAATACCTGGATTTGTACTTCACGCGGATGCAGAGCGAATTAGTGAATAACGTTGCAAATCACTTTTTCTGTTAACTCGGCAAAGCTCGACTGATATGCATGCTCAGGGCAAACAATGAACGTGAATGAAGCGAAAAAAGCCTAACTCTTTGCATACATTCCAGATGAACCCCATCGGTATGAGCATTGACGAAGCCAATGAGAAGTTGGCTCAAGGCATCAACGGCAATCAAGAGTCTGTTATTGAACTTGATAACGAGCGGACTGAGCTTTGATGATGAGCCGCAACAGGGCGGCTGGCGACTGCCACTCGTTCATCTTGCACCAGTGAAGCAGCGGCTTGGGACACACGAATCCCTCGTCTGCGATTCTGTGTCGAGCCTCACACCTTTGGTCGCTTCATAAACAGCTGTGTCTCATTAAAAAGCATAAATAAAATGTTCATTTCTGTGACCGAAACTTCACTGGAGCAGCAGACTTGAAAAATTTTATGGCAATTTTTCATTCCCGAAATAAAGTGACAAGAAATCCTTGAACACGGGATGTCCAAGGACTTTTCATTGCTTCCACCTATGACTTTTGCCTGATTTGGATTCACAAATTCAGTAACATTGTGAACAAGCTGCAACTGCAGAAGTCAATAAGTGCATTTCTACAACCCAGCAACCAAGAAATTGGCCCTATTTTCGATAGATCTTTGACTAAAACTGAAGAGGTTGACATAGCACTCTTATGTATAACATTGAGAAACCTTCTTCCAGTACAGTGGGAAGTACAGTGCTTACAGATCGAAGCGAGCCATCAAGCACTTCATACGACCTGTACGTGCCACCGCCATATAAAACTGCGCCATGCAGCTACAAACATCGCTGCTGACGGTAACGCTGGCTCTGACACAAGTGTTCCAAGTTGAATTGACATCAACATGATGTGATAACAAAACATGATGTGATAAAACAAAAGTGGATGCATTACTTCGCTACAAATTTTCAAATATCTACGAGTACTGTAGCTACGTCAAATATTGATTTTGTGCGATTCTTGCGATAAATGTCTCTGAATTCCGTTCCAGAGCTCCAGTGATTAATGGATTGAGGGAACAAAACACATAGACCAATGCTTATGCCCTCGTAAGCTTGTATGAAGAAGACTCATCTGATAGGACTGAAAGAACTCTGAAAGGGTATGTAATTGGGATGGCTAATTTTTTATTCGGAGAAAAGAGCACTAGAAGATGGGACAAAACAAAGCAACATAGGCCATTGTTCTGTGCTTTTGTGTTCGTTAATTTCTTGTCTTGTAGTGCTGTTTCCTGTATATAAACAAAAGAAGAACAAAGGCTGTCGTTATGTTTTTGTCTGCACTGTATCCAAGTTTGAGATGGTATACCAATGCGCCTATATTCAGACCTTCCTCACGGCTTCTTTGTTCTAACCACCAGTGTGTGCCAGAGCTGCAATATCATTTGTTAAGGTCGTGGTGCGACGCAAGAAAGACTAATCATATACACAAAATGAAAAAAGAGGCAGGGTTTATTCAGATATATAAGCTTCAGCCGACAATAAAGTACAGTTGAAACAAAAGATGCTGCATTTGTCTCTATGCTTGCACTTTCTCGCACAGCCACCAAGATAGAACACATTTCAGAACTGTGAATGCTTGCACCTCGACTGCTGCTTAGTTCTACAGCCAGAGCAGCCATTCGGAATGCCAGGGCAGGGTGGCGCTAATAGGTTTGTTTAACATAATACAATCTCGCATACACCAAAATGACGCTCTTTTGTCCCTACAAGCAATCTAAAGAGTGAGAATAGCAGTACAAATAAAGCGAAAAAATTTGTGCATCACTCAATTTCACTTCTTTGGCTGTCCTCCTGAACTTCAAACGTCACACCAGACTTCGTCACATGCATTAAAGTCGTCACAGATGCATCCATCACGAAGACATTTTTAAACGTGTAGCGCTTATCTGTATGAAAGCAATGTCTCTGGAAGGCAATGTGCGAACACACACCTAACAGTGCCATTCATGCTGCCCGGTGACAAACACCTGCACTCCAGGCGAAGGAATCACCATGAACAGTTTCAGGCTACGTCCATATCATGAGACACACAGGGCATAGTTTCTGCATGTAGCAGCTTTTGGAAGGTTTTAGGCACACACAGAAGATGCTGGCGAAGCATCGTTCGCGGGCGAACATTTGTATTCTGACCATAATATGATGTAAAGAGTGCAGAAATCTGCAGTAGAAGCACCACATGGAGGTGATTATCTACCAAATGTACTCCTAGCTGCCTGCCCCTGTAGTGGTAATATTTTTCAACAACCGACATGAGAGACACTGAGGCCATGAGCACGGGCAATCCTGCTATATAAGAGTTTGAGCTCTCCGCACGCAAAGCCAAGTGTTGCCACTCAGCTCGCTAAAGGACACGAGTCGGCATTACCACATGCCCTTGTTTCCCTGGCAATGGAAGCATTCGGAGCACGACTACTGCTACATGGGCAGGCCCCCAAAGAATGAGGGATTCTTTCGTGGATGCAACAACAAAGAATGAATGAAGCTACGTTTTGATGAGTTCAATGCTAGAAAATTGTGCGGAGACTTTCAAGAGCTGCCTCAATCACTTCTGTTCCATGTGAACATTTTTTTTGTAATGCTGCTTAGACGTGTGAACACATACGTTAATGGGCCTGACTTGCGTACGAACAGCTTAATATAACACTATTCACCACATTATTATACAGACAGAAAACAGAGGGGCCAGTAGAAGCAAAGGAGATTGCCAAAGAATAAAGAAGTACCATCAACTACACAAAACTGCCCAAAAAGTATGACTAGCTGCTCCGCTGAATTCAGTTTCCTAAAGCACCGATCACTACACATGTTCATACGTTAAAGCGATTAACCCTGAACTCGGGAGCCCATGTCTCCTACAATGTTTAGTATGTGCAACACTGCTTTCAAACTTCAAGGGGCAGTGAATAAGATACTTTTGTGGAAAGGTTGTCGCGCTTACAGTGACGGCACATTATACAAGAGTTACTCATTTGCTTAGTGAAAACACCTGGTTATTACTGTGCAGCAAGCTACACTCATGGCTGCAAAATGAACTGTTTCTGTTTTGCACTCACATTTTGTCGACATAAACACCGTTTGCCATCAGCCTTGACATATGGGCAACCTCACAAAAAAAAAAAAAAACCTTGACTGTGACGAAAACAGACGGAGTACAAAGTGTGAGAGGAAAGTTCAATGATTAGATTTGGGTGAATGCTGGAAAGCATTTAGAAAAAGAAAAATGAAAAAGCTGCTGTTTCTTTTAATGGTTGTATGCTCGTACAGTGATGAAAGACTAAATTGCAAAGTGGACAAGAGATAGAAGTGAACAGAATACCAGTTCCACAAATTCTCTATAAACCGTCACTCAAATGAAGTAGCAACAAAGTGAATGCGATTAGTATGAAAGACTACAAAACAATACAAATGAACAATTCCGCCACTGCGACTACTGCAAGTTGTCAGCACCTTCAAATCCACGCCAAAAGTGTGGCGCTATTTTAAAGGGACACTAAAGTGAAAGAGTGAACCCTTTCAGAATGATAAATTATACTCCCAAAACTATATTGCTGTTAAGTTCACCATAAAAGGTTTATTTATAGATAATAAAATCAAGGTCAAAGTACCATTGTTAAATTTTGTGTCACAATTCCCGCGTTTGATGTCATAAATTCTAAACTTTTTACTTATTTTGGCAACATTGGTTCAACAAAACGCACGGAAACTTGTCAAGCTAAGTTGCTAGCCTCCTTACAGAGCACCTTAGTTCAAATTTAGCAATAAGAATGCTGTCAAAATGCTGTCAAAATGCTAGCAAATGCTGTCAAAATCTGTCACTACCGCAACTGGTGCAGAAACTTCAATGTGGCATCGCAATGGCATTTTGTTTTTTAGTGTTTTCTCACTTACCGAGGGTCTTCTTGGGGCAAGTGTGCCGATTTCGGCATTGTGAAATGGTAATTTACGAATACAAAAAAAATTGTTTTTCTCTTTGGTGTCCCTTTACCTACTGGCAACTGAACAAAACTTTTGGAAACAAAATATTTATGTCACTGTACACAAACACAATCTTTTCTACCCATGCCCACAATTTGATCAGGTCCTTGACTTGTAGGCCATCACAGGAGTGACCAGCCCAACTGGTTTCGGACACCATTCGTGACGTAAACAGGTATCACTGCAAGTCCTTAATGCAAGCAACCCTGGTAGCCAGAAGCAGCGCCGCAAGTCGAAGTGTACAAAAAGGTTCCCAAATATATACAAGCAGCGTGCGCTTTGAGTCACAAAAGCAAGGATACAATGCAGTCGCAGCAATGGCAGTGGTCGTGTTTTCTTTAGTGCTCCACCTATATCCCTACAACTAGCATGTGACGTAGTTTCAAAGTGCATTCCTTCCCCTAAGCTTCGCAGTAGCTCTGTACGCCTGCTGCTTGTGTGCCCACCATCGTTTTTGCTTTACTAGCCTTACACTTTCTGTGGAAGAGCCGAGACTAAGGCATGCGTTGCGCAATGATCTGGCAGCAGAGTGAACGTTACAGCTTGAAGAAAACCTTACCGGTCCCAATTCGATAGTCGTCATTGATGGTGTGAGAAGAGCGCCCTGGAAGATTAATTTCTCAATTCAGCATTCTAATTAAGTTCTGTCAATGACTCATGAAACCCAAACTCGCTCTTTGGCGAGAAATCGGTACCTGGTTAAACAGGTAAACTTTAGTATGCGAGGAGTACAACAGTCCGAGGAGTACTGTCGCTTTTGGTGGGGCGTCAGGTTCTGTTATTCAATGTATCTGGCCTTGAAGGGCAACTATGACATTCTTAAACCATATTGGGATATTACCACTTGCAAGTAGCATTCACACACCTTTAACTGATAGAATGCTTTGATTGGCTTGGAAAGTAATCAATAATTTAAGCTAGCCAAAGAGCCATGCACCAAATTTAAGGGGGTAGCTGTTTCAGGTGATGTATATGCAATGTAAGCATGGTATATGTGATGCTAGCACCACCTGGGCAATGTCATTTAACTATAGAACGTACCACTGAAAATTTTATTGAAATAAGTGGACTCTGAAAAATTTCGAGAGTTGGTCTTTAAGTTCCTCTGGATGAAATTGCCTTTTTCAGACACTACAAGTCAACAATGATCATCAATAGTGCACTTTTATAACCTGCCAGCTGATATGCCCAGACAGCTTTTTGAGACGAACTGATGTACTTATCACAAGCAATTCTCCATTGGCACTTCCAAGAATTTTATGATTCCTTCATTCTTAGTTTCCAAAAAGCAAAACCTCTTGGAGCAAGCTGCTCGTTTGCTAAGGACAGTTCACTGAGAAGAATGTGACTAGCACTTGCTAAAGGTCGTCCAGGACCGAAAGAGAGGCCTGATGCTCATCGTTGAACTGAG